TAAATCCAATAATTTATCTGTGTTATTAATTACTCTGGAAAATTCCTTTAAACAAAGATTATTATTTAAAAATTAAACATCCAAGTTTTCTTAGCATTCTTATCGTCAATATAATTAATTAATTACCTGTAAATTTCGTCTTGCCTGATCCATATTGTTATTAATTGTTGCAACCATTCCATTCACCTTAACCAAATTTTCATATTCGTTATGTAGATTATATGTAAAATTATCATCAATAATATAATCTTGTGTTCTTGTAGGTGTAGTTTCCATATCAATTATATTAATATTGCTAATAATATCATTGTTGTTGTTATTTTCCACATCTTGCTTATTATCTTTATAAGTATTAAATTTTGTAACCTTTGGTTTTTGAATTGTAGTATCACCAACATCAGAGAGCAAAAATGGATTAGTATTATCGTTATTTAAAAAAAAGTTATCACTAAAATCTTCTTTTCTAAGAATTGTCGGTGTTTTATAAATATCATCGTTATCCATCTTTCACGTATGAAAAAAAACGCGTAATTATTCTAATTTGGTAAATAATACCCTTGTTTTGTTAGTATTGGAAAATGTTACACGCGTTAATATTATGCAAGGTATGCCCAATTAAACTAAAGAAACCCATCGCCTATAATCTGTATGATCTATATGTTTATATGTATTAATAATAACAAGCATTTGCAATGTGTATATTTAAATGTTAGATGCTATATATATATATATATATATTTGCAATTTACACGCTGAAATATTAATACGGTGTAAAACGGAACGGGCGCGTGTAACAATACGACTAAAAATTGGATGAACAATTTGCTGTGATCAAAAACGTCCATAGTAAATATTTTATTTATCGATTTAATTTTACATAATATCACTAAATGTGAAATATTTCAGACTACTTAATCTGGCTGAACTAGGTTTACATGTCTTAGAAGAAGAAACTTCATTGGATCAAAAACGTTCTTAAAAAATCACACAAAGATTTTTCATGATTTGCATGGTCAAAAATTTCTATATAATTATCTATATCAAATATAGAGCTCCAGTTGAACTGGATCAACATATATATTAAACAGCAAATATATTATATTATTATTATTTTATTATCTTACTATATATAATATTAAGAATTAATCAATTGATTTTGATTTCTTTTTTCAAAAACGGATCTATAATTAAACAATATTAATATATTTGGTGGCGAACGATAACCTCGTTACGCGAGCATCAAAAGAAAAAAAAAAGAAAATATTATTTTACCAGAGGTATTATCATCATCAATAATAATTATATCAAGGAAAAAGGTTATTTTATCAGATTAATTATATTAAGAGTTAATTAATGCTTTATACCCCTTTCAGAAAAAACTGATGATTAAACAATCTATCTAAGAAAAAAAAAACAAAAAACATTCTTATAGAAAATTATTTCGCCACCATTACCAATAAAAAGATGGAACAAATATATTCATTCATCTAACCTTTTAAGCATATTAATATGAAATGTGCATGTAGGCCGCTTTGGGCTATAAAATCAATTCGATTGGATTAGCAACATGCATCTATATTTACCTTTTTTATTTATGTCTTTGTAAATAAAGTGCCCCTACCTTTTATTTGAAATTTGTTAACTAAAATTATGGGGTGCGTGAATCCGCCCATATGTAAAAACTATTTACTATTACTATTAATGGATGATAAACATGAATTTTTTAATAATAAGTTGTTTTAAGAATCTACCATTTAAAGTGAGATGCAATACAAATCTATTTGGTAGATCAGTTGGCTTTGCATCAACCAGATTAATTAGGAATTTCTCTTTTCAAACATAATTTAATTTCTTCCTCAAAATTCATTAGAATTGTAAAACCAACACCTGAGTAAGGTGCCAGAATGTTTTTAATTACATTATGAAATGGAGCTGTTTCATTTTTAACTATTGATAGATAATAAATTAAAAGTTGCTGCTTTATATTATGATAAAGGACTATTGTTATATTTTTTTTTAATGTTTTAACAAATCCACCAATATTTTGTATTACCACTTTATTAGCAAATGTTAATTCTTGATTACTGTTATTGCTTGTTGATTTGTTGTTCATACAATTGAAATGTAGATGATTCATTTATTGACAAATGATTATTGTTATTGGTGTTATTAAAAAAATATTGTAATTTTATCTCTAATTCAGATTGTGAAATTGGAACTATTGAATTATTTGAAAATGTAAAAACCATTATTATTGTTGTTGTTATTATTGTTGTTATAACTATTATTGCTCATCATTACTTCACTTGTAAATCTAAAATTAGTATCACTATAATTCATTAATAAATTCATAATTATCGTACACATTGTTGTGATTATTATTAGTTGATTGATTTTGTTGTGTTGATTCTGGCCCAATGAATCTTTCCTGTTCAATAATATTGTAAAATAAATTTCCATATCTGTCAAAAAAATATTCATTCCCATTTGTAGGGTGAAGCATTTCTTTATTGCGTTCCGCAAACATTATTCCCAACAATGTGTCTGGATATGCTGTCAATGTTGAACGATATGTTTCATACTAAGTAAAATTTTTTCAAATATTCATTATTTTTTAGAAGTAAATGGATATATATATATATCAATCAAAATTACCTTTATGCCACCAACATTCAAGACAATTCTGTCTTCATTCAACAAAGTTTGACTACCAGAAACAATATTTCTATTTTCACTTTCTGTCTTTATTTCTAAATTATCATTTTCATCTAAATTATGAATCTTATTCTTATAACTCTTGGGCATGTTGCTATCCCCTTTGAAAATGTTTCAGGAAAACAATTTGTGCGACTTGGTTAGCATTTATTTTATTTATTTCCACGCATCGTGAAATCTATCTGATTGGTTTATTTTATCACGTGAATATAGATCATGACCTGAAAAAATTACAAGCGAAAAGATGATTTTGGTGTTCTGCAATTTTTCTTTGATTCTATTAAACTGCTGTGCTTCACTTAAATATATAATTTTATTTTCTTTTTTGTCCACGGAAATGTTTCTCCGACTACTTTTATGGCAACAGTTGTATTTTTTTGTAAATGTAACCAGGCTTAACGTTAAAATGATTTAGAATCCTTTTTCTTGGTAAATTGTGAACTGAGAAAATTTGAAAAGTTCGGACTTTGTAAATTTTAATAGAGATATCTTTGGTAATGCATTATTAATGATCAAGATATATATTAACAAAATAGCTTAAAAAAATCTCCTATTAATATAACATAATCACCGGAAGAATTTTTTTCAATTATGAAATTTGATGTAAAATTATTTTTTTTTATTATAACAGTAATATTACAACATATATAAATTTTTTATTAATATGCAAATATAATAAAATAATATTTTAAAATTTTTTTTGATCTAAAATTTTCTTTTTATTTTCCAAAATTTTCTTCAAATTGTCTAGTTTCTTTTGAGCCAAACTATTACTAACACGTTTAGAGGCTTGCTGATAGCATTCAATAGCCTGATTAATATTTTTTTTGGTACCAACACCTTCTTCGTAACATCTGCCTAGTTCCATCTGACTAACAACATTACCATTTTCAGCAGAACTCAAAAACAATTCAAATGCTTGTTTCAAATCTTTTGTTGTGCCATAGCCTCTTTCATAACATAAACCTAATAGCCATTTACCTTTAAAATTATTATTATCTGCAGATTTTTTTAACCATTCATAAGCTTTTTTTCTATCAACCTTTATCCCGAATCCCCAATAATAACACCTGCCTAAAAAATATTGACCTATGGAATTACCAGTTTTTGCGGATTTTTCATAATGTTCGAAAGCCAATTGTTTGTCTTGCACTGTACCAATAGAATTTTCATAGAAAAATCCTATTATGAAATTAAAATCTGAATCGTCATTATAATTTTTTAGTAATGATTTAAAAGTTGATTTGTGTTCTCTCATATGATTATGTAAAAATCCCTTTAGACTGGATATTATATAGTTATTATCACCCGATAATTCTAATAATTCTATAAAGAACTTTAATAAATTTTCAAAAAATGTTGAATCAGTATCTGCTATAATTTTTTTATTACTTTCTATACTATTGTTTGAAGAATTTAATTTTGTTGGACTTTGTGGAATTTGATGAAATTTGGTTACTGGAGATGATGGAGATGATGGAGATGATGATGTAGATGATGATGTAGATGATGATGTAGATGATGATGTAAATGCCGCACCATTAAATGAACTTCTTCTATGTTGAGCTATTGATCGATTTTGAGAAGAATTTAATGTATCATTAAAAGAACTTCTTCTTGAAGAAAACGAAGAAGAGGAAATTGTTCTGTTTGTTTTTAGTGATTTACCATTATTATTAGTACTGCTATTATTAATATTTTTGTTGATAATCCTATTTCGTTCATCCAATGATTTTATAATATTAATATTTGGTAGGGTATTCTTTTTCTCGATAGATTTTCGATTTTCTAATTTTATCAATTTTTTTTGATTAGCAGTATTGGAAGAAGATTTTGTTGTGGAAATCCCATTCCTTATTTTAGAAGTAATATTAATTTGACCTAGTAATTTTTCAATTTCATTAATGTCAGGTCTTTTATCTGGGTCATCATTCCAACAGTTTTTGTAAACATCTATATAACTTTGTGGTGTTCCTTTTGCTGATGATTCCTGAATTATTGAAGATGAAAATGAAGATGTGTTGTTATTTGATGGTAGGTAAAGGTTTCTAGATGGAGTTTTACCACTTGATATTTCCCAAAGTAAAAAGCCTAAATTATAAATATCTGATTTTTTATTATTTTTTTCATAACATTGTGGTCCAATATATGTCATATCACCTTTAATATCTGATGTTGATTGTAAGGATAATCCAAAAATAGAAAATTTGATTTTTCCTTTATTAACAAGTACATTACTGTCAGCCTTCTAATATATATAAAATGGATTAATATAATAATTAAATACATATTTTATATTTATAATTAATAAATATATAAACCTACAAGATCTTTATGAATTATGTTTTCTGAATGTAAGCAAGCTGTTACACTTGTAACTTGTTTTGCAAGATCTAATTTGTCATTCCAACTTAATGATGAAAAGTTCTTGTTTAAATAATTTCTTAAAGTTCCACCATCTGCATACTCAATCACTAACAAATATCTATTGGTATTTGGATCTATAAAATATAAATAAATTAAAACGTTAATTTTACTCTTTTTCTTCTATTCGTACTAAAATTAATTCATTCGTTACCTTTGGTTATTCCATAAAATTTTAAGATATTTGAGTGAAAATCTAACTTTTTGTGTAACTTGAGCTAATAAAAAAAAGTATGCATTATTTAGCATAATTAAGCATACAATAATATTTATTTATTCATTGTTCTTTTCATACCTCGTCAATAAAAGAATGTAAAATAGATCTATTTTCCTGAAAAGTAACATCAACCATCAATTCTTTTAATGTCACAATAACGTTGTTTAATTTCCAAATTGCTTTATAAATTTTATTGCATTTTTCCTTTATACTAATTTCTTTAATCTTATTAAATTGCTCATATTCATATAAATTCAATTGCTTTTCATTTATTAATTCTTCAAACAAATTCGAAGGAACTTTTGTAATAGTCGTGTTAGCAATCATGTTGATCTTTGTTGGTTGTTATTAATGGAGGGAGAGTTGAAAAATGTTTAATATAATACTAATAAAAAAGTTAGACCGTTTGATGGGTTAATTAGGTAGGAGGACTCGGAAATTTCTAATTTGAGGTTTCCAGAACCCTTCGGGTAAAAAACATATAGTTTTTAAAAGTAGAAATATAGTATATATATTACAGGGTAAAATTCTAAGAAAAATTTGGGTAAATAAGGTTCGAAGATCATACTAAATACGTATAAGATAAGCAGATAATCTTCTTCATTACGTTAAATTTTTATATTTATGGCAGCAATCTTCGTAAACAGCCAATAATATTTTTGGTAAATTTAGTTAAAATCATAAAATGGTACACAAAACTAATTCTCCAGATCCCTCCAAATTGATATTAGCTCATTATCTATAGTGTTTTCATCTTTCACCTAATATGGATGTATTCTGATTTATTAATATGCAAATTTCCTAAATATTCAATGCCATTTAAACTGTAGATCTTGAATGATATTAATGACCACGAATTAAAATGCAATTAAGACTTCTAACGAATCAAATCGAATTTAGAGTGATTCAATTCGATTTGGTTCGTTCTGTAGTCAATCCAATTCGAATCAAGCTGGATTCCTAATTTTTTTGGAATTAATAAAAATCGAGGTTCGGATACTTTCTTCCAGACAGTGTATATTTAAATGCATTAATTTATTAAAGTTGAAAAATGTTTTGCATCATTTGACGATGCAAAATATTTAGCTCTTTTGATTTTTGAGTTGAATAATCAAGCAATTAGCTTGGACAGCCGGTGACATATGGTATGTGAGCATAAACAAAGATTATAATATTGGAATGTTTTATCATAATTATTTAAATTTAACGGTTTATTAATTTACTAATTCAATGCTGAAAACATGACCTATTGTAGAGTGACCTGAGTGACCGGTGACATTTTGAATTCAAACTCTTTTGTATGTTTGATCATTATAATTCTACTGGCTAATTGTAATTGAATGAAGACATGCATATTTGTGGGCTTCACTGATTCATGTTTAATATTTATTGGATATTTAATGCCTGCCTTTAATTTGTAAATAATAGTAACGAGAATAATAATAATGAAAAAAAACAAAATATTATATAATTTATGATTTGATTTGATTTTATATGAAATTGAATTGAATTATTTGGTGAAAAAAAAACCTCCCATTCTCTTCACTCGTTATCATCAATTAGTTATCAACTTCATTTACCCATAATTTTAAAGATGGACTCGGTCTAAAAGTCATATTTAACTGTTTCTTGATCTCTAATCCTTCAACTTCATGAAATTCAAAATTTCTTAAGAAAATTGCTAGGAAAACTTTCATTTCGTTAAATGCCACTTTATTACCAATACATGATCTTGGACCTATCATAAAAGGCATATAATTACTATTTGTTATGACCTTTTTGGTATGTTCATCAAACCAACGTGATGGTTTGAATTCTTTAACATCTGGACCCCAGGTTGACGCCATATTGTGAAGTGTGAATATTGGTATAAATATTATTGTTCCCTAAAAGATGTAAAAAATATATGATTATTGTTGATATATTTTAATGTAATTAATATATGGGATAGTAAAATAATTGATGATAATAACCTTTGGAACTAAATATCCATTAATTATGGTATCCTTGGCTGGTTCACGAACTGTAATTGGAGCTATTTTTTTAAAAATATATATATATTAATTAATAACAAGAATCATCATAACCATAATCAACACTTTGTTAAATAGAAGAACATACCTGGAGGAGCAAGTCTAAGAGTTTCTTTACAAACAGCATTTAAATATTCCAATGAATTGATTTGTTCTAATGTTGGTACAATATCTTTATCTGGAAATTCTTTAATAATTTCTTTTCTTAATTTATCTTGAATTTCTAGATCCCTAGATAAATAATATAATGCCCAAGTTACTGCTACGCTAGTTGTTTCATGTCCTGCCAATAAAAACGTCATAATCTATATATATTTGTTTAAGGAAAATAATAATATGATTATTATTATCATCATCAACACATATATATTCAGTAGTAAATAATATTTTTTTACCTGATTTTTTAATTCCTCTAACTTCATTTGTTCACTTTCATCCAAATTACCTTCATTATTGGCTTTTATTAAACCACTCAATAAATCACTCTTATTTTTTAATTCCCCTTTAGCAAATTTGTCTAATTTATCATTAACCAATTTGGTTGTAACTTCGTCAACTACAGATGAGGCTTCTTTGATATCTCGAATTTGTTTGACTGGCAATGATTTTAGTATGGGAAAGGTGTTTGATAATAATCGATATGCTAACGCGAATCGATTTTTTGAGTCAAATAAACCTTCATATGCTTGCGATAGTTTTGATGATGTTGTTAATGAATTAAATTCGTAATCAAATCCTATTAGAATAAAGTGATAAAAGAATTATATTGAGAAATAAAGAATTGATTACAATATTTATTGTATATAAGGATGATCTTTACCTACTATACCAATGACATCCAATGTTGCCTTTGACGTATAACTCATCACATTAATTTTTGCTCTCTTTTTTCCAACATCATCATTACTATTATTTATTTCATTTTTCCATATTTCCTTTACAGTATTGCCAATTTTTGTAAATGTTGGTACCATATCCTAAAATAATCATCAAATTAATGCTAAAGAAACTTTAAATTTTATTTTATTAACCAATTAATTAATCATTACCTTTATATTACCGTGGCTAAAAGTAGGATTCATTATTTTACGTTGTTTTTTATGTACTTCACCTTCTGCAAACAATAATCCATTTCCCAAAATTCCTTTTAAGGGTCCCGCGAATCCTTTAGGCTTAATAAAATCAGTCGCCTCATTAACTAATATTTTTTGTAAAGCTTTCTCGTCGGTAACAGTAAGGATTTGTTTATTAAATAATTCATAAGTTTTGAAAATTCCACCATATTTATCTACCAAATCCGTTTGATCTATCATAACTGACTATGAATAAAATTTTTGTATATTTATGCAAAAAAAAATTATTAAAATGCCATTTTTCACGCACAAATCCACACGCATGCGCGCTATCTTTCACGCACTCTCTTTTCGCATTTTTTTTACTTTCTGTCTTGCTTACCTGAGATGAGTTAATAATTTTAATAAAACTTCCTAATAAAAAATGGTCAGGTGGTGGACCTGGTATTTTACGTAAAGGCGATAAATAAAATGGATAAATTACCCATAAATATGTTAAATAACTGACAAGTAATGTTAAGAAAATTTCAAGAAGCATTATTATTGTTGTTTAATATTATTATGAAATTGTTTTTTGCTATGGTAAAAAAAAAAATCATCCTTATTTATGTGAAGAAAACATTACACGATAATGTCTGTGTTAAAAATATCCGGGGAACACTTCCCCCATTCGAAAACTAAAAAATATAACTTTTTGGACAATAATTTATCCAGGTTATTATTATTATCCTCGGGATTTCCGATCATTATTATTGGTTATTAGTATTAGAAATGCTTTTAGATATGTACAAAAAAAATTAATATTTCAGTGTCACTCAATGGATTTAATGGAAAAGATATACAATCAACTTATAACTCAAATTTCGATGTAATAAATTGGAAAGTCAGCAACAAATAATAATATTCTAAAATGAGGCAACAAAATAATAATAAATTATCACTTTATTATTCAATTACTTTTGGGAATCATTCATATACAAAATCTATATGTGACTTTGTATGTTCTAATTTATTTATTATATAAAATAATTTATTATTAGAATCAAAAACTTTGAGATCTATAATATTTGCCGCTGTTATACTTTTTGTCCTACTACACAACATTCGCTTGTATTTAAAAAAAAATCTTTTATTTTGAATGATTTCCGCAGCAAATTCTCTGATAGACGACGAGTTACCAGTTAAAATTTTTCTTTTCATATTAGTATAGAAAGGATCATAATGTGAAAAAAGCAATTTTGGGTTAATTCTATATACTCGCTCTTATATGCGACTTGATGATAGAACCCCACTTTGTATAGTGAAATTATAAATATTGTTCTTTAATATTAAAAGTTTCATACACCCCTTGGAATGTAGCCATCGAATCTGGGAATAATCATATTTTTAAAAAACGGGTTTTTTGAGAGTAAAATATCTTGGATCAAATTTTATCGGCGCCATTAATTCCCGCATAACCAATATAAAATAGAAATACCGATCCGTGTAACCAATCAGGATTTGTAAACTTGAGAGGGTGTGCAGCATTCTATGAAAATCAAAAACTAATTAATATATTGGACCTAATTAAATCAAAATTAGGTGATGTTTTTTGAAAAAATAAGAATATATATAAAAACTATATAAATAAAAATTGTATCAGAGCCTTCAAATAAAGAGATACAGACATGA